TGTGTGTGTGTTTTTAATAAGTTAAAATAATTTAAAAACTGTAGATATTGTTTAATTAATAATATATAACATTATTGTAATAATATGAATGGATGATAATTATTAATATATTAATAAAACATTCATATTTAATAGTTTGTATCCAAGTACACCAAAAGGTATATTGAAATGAGAGAATTGGTTTGGAAGCTGAATAAGCAAAGACTATGTATATGTGTGTGGATGAGAAGCAGCTGATTGGGACGGTCACAGGTGTTGCTTAATTAGCCTTTGATCTGTAGGGTAATGATGCTGTGTGCTGGAAGTGAGGTCAGTTTTACAGAGGGTTACTCCAGCTGTCGCTCGCAGTCCCGAACTCTCGTCTCTTTCATCTCGCTTTGCCAGATGCTCCCGCATGCCCTCTAACACACCTCTGTCCAGCCGCTCTGGCTCTCTTAGTTTAGTTTAAGTTTGGGGATTTGTGGTCCATCAGCCCGTTTCATGCCCTGGAGTGTCCCAGTCAAACTCCAGACCCGTCCGATGTAAAATGACTGCTCACAGTGTGACCTCAAACAGCTTGTAGTTTTGGGAACGCTATTTTGAAATTATATCTTTCCGTGATTGACACAGGAAACAGTTTTGATTTGTCTCTCATATGTGACCCTGGAGCACAAAACCAGTCATAAGGGTCAATTTTTCGAAATTGAGATTTATACATCATCTGAAAGCTGAATAAATACACTTTCCATTGATGTAGGGTTTGTTAGGACAGGACAATATTTGGCCGAGATACAACTATTTGAAAATCTGGAATCTGAGGGTGCAAAAAAATCTAAATATTGAGGAAATGGCCTTTAAATTTGTCCAAATGAAGTTCTTAGCCATGCATATTACTAATCAAAAATTACGTTTTTATATATTTACAGTATGAAATTTACAAAATATCTTCATGCAACATGATCTTTACTTAATATCCTAATGATTTTTGGCATAAAAGAAAAATCAATCATTCTGACCCATACAATGTATTTTTGGCTATTGCTACAAATATACCCCAGCGACTTAAGACAGGTTTTGTGTTCCAGGGTCACATATAGCATTCATTTCATGCAATCTATACCTCTTTTTTTTTCAGAGGAGACTGTTCCATGTCATACGGAAAGACCTTGAGGCTTCTGTCATATATTTTTAATAAGATAATAGTTGTGTGAAACTAATGTGTGAAAATTGATTCCCTTCTCTTTGCCTCTTGTATTTTTTTTTTCTATTTCTGTTTGCTTCAGGCAAGTGATTTACTCCCTTTATATTAAAATGCCTGGATTGATTTTGCAATGCAATAAAGCCAATAAAAGTATGTTTATTTAAGCTGTCCAAGGGCTTTGGTGTGTTTATTTGCCAAAGTGTATGGGTCAGGACAAAGTACACTGTGAAAGAAGAATTGAAAGGCAGAAAGGCATAAGCTTAACTATCATGGATTTCAGTACAGTGTACTGAATTTTTTTTACATAAAAAAAATGTTAGATTTGTTCATTTTAAAAAAGATACCCGTTTAACTATGGCTAATGTAGTTGTTTACAAATGTTTAATGTGCTGAATGATATTGTTGTAATTGCAAGTTGTCATGACAAAATTTTAACAAATAAGAGCCTTAATATTCTGTCTGTGAAGGTCCGGTCGACTAGTACATAGTTGTGTCCAGCTCTTCAAACAAAAAGCAATAATTACTCTTATACCTTTAATTTGTTTTGGTGTTTGTTTATAAATTTTGGTATGCATTCTTTAAGGTCACACACTAACATTGAACCTAAACTGTAAAAAAAAAAAAAAACTTTTAATTTACTGATGCATATAACTATTGATTTAAAAAAACAAACATATTTTTGGCTTGTGCTGAAGACATCTGTGAGCATTCATGATCATTGCATGTATGAGTGTGTTTGTGTATCTTCTGTACTGTGTTGTGCAGAACCACATGCACGAAGGTTTTCATGTCGAACTCAGACCACAGTAGGATCTAAGAGCTCGAGAAATGTTTGGAATTTGTCATGTCTGCCTGTGAATCTGTCATCAAACCTACAATTGTCTCCCAACATCCCGTTTATTCTAGTTTCAGTCCCTGCACAGCAGTGGCTTTTCTTCACTAGACTCATTGTTGACTCTAAGAAGGAAACGGTCTTCTCTTTGAAGTGGCTCTCCATACACATTTGTGGATACTATTTGTAAGGCTCTAAAATGAACATACACGTGATGTATCACTTTTACAAAAACTGAAAATATTTTTTTGTGTGTGTGTGTTAAAAACAATTGCATTCTTGGAGGCGTGACTGCATCAAAAGTGAGTAAAGACAAATGAATATTACAAAAGATTTCTATTTCAAATAAATGCTGCACTTTTAAACTTTCTATTTATCAAAGAATCCTGAGAAAAAGAAAATGTATCATGTTACTTTCCACAAAAATATTAATCACTGTTTTCAACACTGATATTTTTTTCTCGAGCACCAAATCAGCACATTAGAATGATTTCTGAAGGATTGTGTTACACTGAAGATTGGAGTTATGACTGCTGAAAATATGACATTTTTAAATAAATTAAAATACAATGCTGTTATTTTAAAATGTAATATTTTTTTTATTATTATTATTACTGTTTACTGTATTGCTATATTATTTATCCAATAAATGCAACTTTGGTGAGCATAAGAGACCTTTCAAAAACATGAAAAAGTCTTATTTTAAACAAGTTTCTACCCTGAAAAAAAGTCAAAGAGCCAGACAGCCAAAGGACAGTCAGCACAACATTCATCGGTATGATGGAATAAATAAATAAAATGAGCAGACGACAGGCTTGCTTTAATGTTAATGAGGCATATTGATCAAAGTCAACAGTAAAAATCGGCAGACAGATAATAGGTGAGTGGAGGCTTCCTCTGGGAGAAGACAGCAGATCTGGAGTGAATAAAGGCCTGATGATTCAGGAAATAAGTGTTAACCATAGTGATGAGATATTATACTAATATTCCTTAGCTTAACAGCAGGTTAACCAATTAACCACAGTTTTATATTTATTTTAAATGATAAACTATTTCAATTATAAACTTGCAATTGTATGAAAACATTCATTTTAATAAAATATTCTTTTAGAATGACTTTTATATTATTTACATAGAATAAAATAAGAGCTATAACAATTAATTATTTAGATACCGTTAATTAAATAAATACAAACATGCACTTTCACAGACTAACAGACACTTAAGGAATCACCATTGGTGTGAATTATTGATTGAGAGAGACATTCTGATGAGGATGGGTTTGGAGCGGTGCTGTTTAATTAAGGAAATGTACTCTTTCTCTTCCGTTTTCTTTTGTCAGCACAAACACCTCGATGGAAGAAGAGGCACACTGAGGACACTTCAGCACAGAGGCCAATCATTCCTCAAGCAGATCCCTTTCCTGCCTCGAATTACGGCTTTTGATTCAAACAGCGTCAAAATTTATGTCTGAAGGTGTTCTTAATGTCTGCTGTCTGCGCTGAGATATACAAACTGCAGATATTCCTGTGACACCCGCTATAGAAAGAGAATTAAGGCTTATTTATTATCAAATTATTCACAGGTGGGCCATACACTCTTAAAAATAAAGGTGCTTCAAAAGGTTCTTCAAGCGATGCCATAGAAGAACCATTTTTGGTTCCACAAAGAACCATTCAGTCAAAGGTTCTTTAAAGAACCTTTGACTGAATGGTTCTTTGTGGAACCAAAAATGGTTCTTCTATGGCATCGCTTGAAGAACCTTTTGAAGCACCTTTATTTTTAAGAGTGTATCTCAGTGTAGCCTACTTTAAAAACAAAATATATCCAAAAGACTTACCATTTATATAATGGAGATGTCCTTTAAAACACTCCACTTCGTTATAAAGTGTTCAGCGAACTCAGTGCTATATGAACAGGTGCAGCTTGATGCAGAATGATCTGTTTCAAATTCAGGATTATGGAGCCTGAGTAATTGGTGATGGAGTATAAAAACAGCAGGTGATATTGACCTCACAAATATGGATTACACTGAATGAGGGCCAGTGAAGCAGCTGCTACTTACTCAATGACAACAGAACGTTTTAAAGGGTTAAACTTTTGTGGGTAAACACATTTACTTGCTGGTAAACCTTCCTCAACCCATATCTGCATTAATTGTTTCACTTCTCTTCTAGGAAAACATCACATAAATGTGTCAAAATCAATAAAACTGTATGTACAAACAAGAAAGAGGAAAAAGTCTTGGCTATAGACTGAATGAATTAGTTGATTCCAAAGGCATTTTGTGTCTCTGTAACAGATGTCCGTCCGTGGTACAGTAAGCAAGAATGAGAAACATACTTTGAATTAGGATACCTTTGCTCAGAAACTGGTCGTTATGAATTTTCTGGCACCATAATCCTAGTTTTACACCTTCTTATCTTGTATCTTAATGAATGAAAAGGTCTGGCAAAGACAAGACATGTTAATCATGGAACAGAGAAAGAGAAATGCAAGGATCAAAAAAAGCAAAGATTCATGATTCAAAGATTTAAAAGAAAGGGTTGGCTGTAAAACCTTTTTAAATTGTGTTATGATATTACGTTTTCTTGGATGCACATAGATTCTTGGGGTATTCCACTTTTGATTTTATATCTGTGATATACAGAGAAATGATGACTAATTCAAATATTTTCTACACTTTGTTACCCTTCTTAAGGTCGGAATATTGCATTAAAATTAATCTGTGACAGTTTTTCTTCGAATATTGTATTAAAATTAATCTGTGACAGTTTTTCTTCTTAAAAACTTTTTCTGAGAAAAACACTTTCTTATCACCAATTGATAAGAAAGAAATGCAATCAAGCTACATGCAAAGCAGAACTTTCTAATAAAATCTCTAAATTATACATTTTTACATGATAAATTATTTAACAATTAAACTCCGCACACCTGACGACAATAGATAGGTGCGTTGGAGGCAAAGACCAACCAGGTCAAAAAACTAAAAAGCAAAAGACTAATCCCGCACACTATCTATGCAAAAATTATCAAAATATTTATTGACTACATTTCGGTCGCATGACCTTCATCAGGAATTTTTTTGGTTGTAAAACAAAATAAAAAAGTTAAATAAATATAATATCATTTTAAATAATACTGCTGATTCACTGTAATTTCATAGATTCGTTTTATTTATTTTTGTTTTATTTCATTTTATTGTTTTATTTTATTTTTAGTGTCTTATTTTTAACTTATTTTAGTTTGACTTGCATAACTGGGTTGTACTCATTACAGTGCTGGTAATCAAGCCTTCATAAGCCTGATAGAGGAAAACAGAGTGTGTGGGAAGAGCAGAGGGGGCAACTCAGTGACGTAACCTGAGCTGGTATAAATGGTATTCTCTGTCTTGCCTGATTAGGTATGAAAGCTTAGGCGTGAACATGTTTCCCTCTGATTATAGTCTAAAGAGCATCAAACTCCAAGCCACACTTTATTTCAGCATGCTGTCTGCTAGCACAGTCAGTGAGACCTGCCACTGTATACAGTTACAGGTTGGACTCAACAAGGAAACCTAATAACTTCATGAACACCCACCAAAATGGGCCAGACATCATATTCTGAAACAGCTGAAGGAACTGCTCTGCTAAAATGCAGGTCTATTAATCTCCTCTCATGCTGCCACCAGTATTTTGTCAAGGTATTCCCTCCTTTAAGTTACGCATTGCTGTTTTAAATCTGTGTAGATTTGTGACACAGGAAGAATTTGCGCTTAAGAAATCCACAAGTAGCAAGGATTTGTGCAGTGTTGCCAACTAATTTTCAGAGAAAGTTGCTAAAGGATGGTCGATTTGTTGCTAAAAGTTGCTAAATGACGTTGTGATGTCATTGCGCAATGACGTCATTGCGTAATCACGACGCAAAATTGTCACATCATCAAATCTCAGCAAAAAATATATTTTATATATGTTAATTTAGATTTGTTTGTAAAATAATATGCATGATATAATATTAAAATATAAATAACTGTATTTTTAAATACATCGAATTATTGAAAACGTACACATTTTTTTAATGATTTCAATTTAAGTTTTTTTAGTAGCTAGTAAACTAGTAATTCTACACATTCTCAACTAATATGCTTTAAGCAGTGTATTAGTAGTTAGTTAGTATGCTACACTCTAAGAAAAGTCTGTAAAAATAAGGCACAATCTACTATGTTAATATGAAAGAATTTTCCGTAATGGTTTTTTACCTGCATTTTAAATTACGCATTGTGTTTTCGGGTTACAATGGATGATTGATAATGGATAATGTCCTGAAAGATTTTCAATTTTTCTTACAGTATACTAACTGATCAACAATCGCAGGTACAAGCTACTAACAAAGTGTATCATAAATGAACAATTATTCAATTATCAAATTATTCAATTATTATTGTTATTATTAAATTGAACAATTGCAAATAGCAGCTAACTCAGTTCACGTGATGTGTGTACTGCTAGGCATCTGTGGTTTCCTCTTTTTGTGTAATTTGGATGGAAAATGTGTGCCTTTTTATTGTCTGAGTCACTTATCAAAAGTTGCTAAAGGTTGCCAAATCAATTTTTAAAATTGCTAAATTTGTTGCTAGGTGCTTTTGGAAGAAAAAGTTGCTAGGGTAGTCTGAAAAGTTGCTAAATTTAGCAACAAAATTGCTAAATTGGCAACACTGGATTTGTGTGCAGAGTGTATAACTAATAATAGAAGGTGAAAAAATCTGTAACTCAAAATACAAGCGGTGTGAGCAAGCAATTCCAGTCCTCTAGTAACCTCTAGTGGAGAGTAAATTAAACTGCAGACAGTTTGAAATGTCAAAGGCCTCTCTACAAGATGGATTGCATTTATTTCGTAATAATCAAAAACCATATAACATTAGGATAATTCATCATTGTGTCTGACTGCAGCAGTGAGTGTGCTAGTTTACTTCCGTAGCAAGAAGAGCACGTTTAATCAACTGCTTATCGAGTCTTTAGGCACTTATTTTATTAACAACAATAAATGGACATGGACTGTTCACAACTGAAATTCTGCCACAAGAACTATACATTTCTATGTCTTGTACGGATCGATTTCTCCTTAAGCAGCCTATGCAATTTAAGAAGCGACTTATGTTATATCTGCTCACCAGACGAATATGCACAGAACTTAACTTAGGCTATGTTAATGTTTAAAATGTAGAGTATTTTGACATTTATTTTTAAAGATCTTTGAATGCTGATTTAAAATAACTAGGTCAGAACCCTCTTAATTTCTCAAAATATCATCACATTTGTGCAATATAAAAAAAAAAAAACCAGACAATAAAGCCTAAATATACGCCAGTGTGGAGCACTTTTTGAAGTAAAAAGTGTGAGCTTAGAATTCAGTTTATTTGAATAACAAACATTTGCTTATCTGCCAAACAAACACAGCCTAGGGATATGACAATTTGCGTAATAGTACAGATAGGTAAATTAAATATAAACATCTGGATTTAAGTTTAGATTTAGAACTCAGATTTAAAATAGCATTTTAAATAACTTTTAGCATTATATTTTCTCAGGATTCACTTACTTTATTGGCACACATACTCACCAAACGTAATGCATGGAAAACGGTGATTGGTCGAAAAAATGATTGACAATATTGTAAACCACTTATTGCAGAGCACGAATGAAAATAGACGAATAGCGGCAAGGGGCGGGCATTTTGAAGTGAGCGAGGAAAAATGGCGACCATCGTGATGAAGTTGAACGGGACTATTTACGCAACAGTAATGGATTTACCGTACAGTCTGGCAAACAAAATTAGATTATCTACGTTATTCGTATTAATACTCGCTTTTACGAGTAGTAGCTCAGGCGAAAACACATATGAAGATACCACTTACGAATTTCTCAAGCGAGAGTATTCGCTGAGTAAGCCTTACCAAGGTAAGCGTCAATTCCTGTTCCCTCAGTGACGACAAACCGGTGCCCTGCCAGAAGTTACACCCGTTTTTAAGTCAAATAGTTAGAAAGAAAATATTTAAATGAGACCACAGGTTTACAGTTAGGAGGACCACTGTGTCCTTTATTTCTTTTGGTATTGTTTGTTGCCCTTTTCTTGCTCTCGCAACTGCAGTGATTTAGTCACAAATCCACAGGGCGGAAATGCAGGACAGTTATAGATATTCCGGTTCATATGCTTTATTAAACAATATGCACTCTGTGTATTTATTACATTAATATTTATAGTTATTCATTTAGCAGGCGCTTTTATCCAAAGCGACTTGACAATTTAGGAATACAACGTTCATCATAAAGAGGCAAATAAACACAGGAAGTGCTCGTTATACAAAGTTCAGTTCAGATTAGTACAAGCTAGACAAGGAACAAGTAAAGAGAAAGCTTTTTTTTTTTTATTGGGATGCAGTCAAATGTTGACTGAAGAGATATCTCTTA